TCAAGCAGAACGACCCGTTCTGCTTGAAGAACGGCCCGTACTTCTTGAAGTACGTCCCGTTCTCCATGGAGTACGGGCCGTTCTGCCAGCAGAACGGGCCGTTCTCCAAGCAGAACGGCCCGTTTTGCTTGATATACCCAGAAACGCATTCTCCGAACCCAGACTTCACTTCCTTCTCCTTCTCCATCTTCAAAAACTCGAAACAAACAGAAGAAAAAAACATCATTTACGTCATAGAACCTCATAGAAAAGCCCAGAAACAAAAAAACACAAACTTGATGGAAGATGCTACCTCATAGAACCTAGATCCCAGAAAAGCCCATGACCACGCGAAGAAGAAACAGAAGAAGATGCAGATGAACGCCATGAAGGAGGAGGCGCAAGAGAAGGAAGAAAAACAGAAGAAGGAGGAGGAGGCGCGGGAGAAGGAAAAATTGAAGAAGGAAAATTAAACAAAATTACGTTTCATGCCACCACATTTTTATTACATCGGGTATTTCTATATCCGACATAAAAAGAATGACGTAGTATCCTATTTTTCCACTAGTAAAGCCTTCCTAAGCTTAGTTTATTTTGCACCCATAAATATGACATCGTTGATAACATTACATTGAAAAAAAAAAAATTATAAGCGAGCTACGATTAACTGCCGCAATTTAGTGTGGGACCATGTCATATAATAATTGTATAAAATTTTTACAGTAACTTTTGTCCAAAAATTGCAGTTAGCGAGCGACAATCAGCTACCTGCCAGCCACATTAATGCGGCAGTGTATTTAAATTCGTCCTCATAAAAAGAAAAAATTATTATATTTTTTTATTATTAAAAAATTAATATTTTTATAAAGTTCAAAACATAAATTCAACATCTTAAAATTCGAAACACTAATTAAGTTAATATATTTTATTATTAAACTTTTTTAATAGAGTGACGGGTTACAATACAAGTGATAACAACCCAGCACCAAACTTGACTAATCCACGTTAGCCTCCTCGTATATAAAGGAAAGCCGTTTCCATTGTGATTGAGTTGATAGAGAGAATGGTGAACCTAGTGGCGGCACAGAAGCCATTGCTTCACGGGCTAATGAAGATGGCCGGGATCAGGCCCTACACGGTGGAGATAGAGCCCGGCACCGTCATGAGCTTCTGGGTCCCCTCGGAGACCATAACCAAGCCCAACAAAAAAGACGAGAAGCCCAAACTGAAGGCCAAGCCCAAGAAACCCGCAGTGGTGCTGGTGCACGGTTTCGCCGCGGAGGGGCTGGTGACGTGGCAGTTCCAAGTGGGCGCGTTGACGAAGAAGTACGCGGTTTATGTTCCGGACCTTCTGTTCTTCGGAGGGTCCACGACGGACAAAACGGAACGGTCGCCGAGGTTTCAAGCGGAGTGTTTGGTTACGGGGTTGAGGAAAGTGGGGGTGGAGAAGTGCGTGGTGGTGGGTTTCAGTTACGGGGGAATGGTGGCGTTCAAGATGGCGGAGATGTACCCTGAAATGGTTCAGGCTTTGGTGATTTCTGGGTCCATTTTGGCCATGACGGACTCCATCAGCATCTCGTCGCTGCAAGAACTTGGCTTCTCTTCTTCTTCGGAGCTCTTGTTGCCTACTTCCGTTAAGGGGCTTAAGGCGCTTTTGTCCGTCGCTGCGCACAGAAAACTCTGGTTCCCGGATCGTTTGCACAAGGATTTTCTTGAGGTATATATCTATGTATGCATGTGTCACACTGTCACCCTTGCTTCCATTTTTTTTTTCTCTTCCCTTTATTGCTTTCCTATTAATATCATTAATTAACACACTAAAAAAATTAATTAAATACATTTAATTCTTACGATTTTAGATAAAATATATATATAATATATTACTTATATTATTGTTTTAGGGATATTTTTTGCTTAAAAAAATTAAATGATGTTAACTTAAGTCAGATTTATTTATATTTTAATTTAAAAATTTTAAATATTTTTTCTTATATAAAGGTTTGGAGGGAGTAACTTTCAATAAAAAAATATTATAAAGAAATTAATTAGTTAGAAATTTAATTGTATTCTTGACATTTCATTATTATGGTTATATATTTTAGTGTTCATTTTTTCTCTTATTATTTAAGAGATCTGTTAACATATTCATTTTGTTTTTTAATTTTAGTAAATTAACTAGCTACACTTTAGGTGTAGATATGAAATCGTAATTATAAATTATCAACATGTTCTTTTAAGACAGAAGTAGATGTATAAATTAGTAAATTCGATAAACATATTATATGTTGATGTGCATTTATTTATTTTTAGTTGGATTGCGTTAATAGCAGTGTTTTAAAACCCGGACCGACCCGGCCGGTCGGACCGGTTGGACCGAGAACCGGTGGTCCAGCTGGTTCGAATCTGAAGTTGGATCGGTTATGCAGTCGACCCGTTTCAAACCGGATTGAACCGGTCAATTTTTCGGTTCAATTGGTGAAACCGGTTCAACCACTTTTTTTCTTATTTTTTTTAAATTTTTTTAAGGGACTATAAATCACAAAAATAATAATGAAAATTGAATCTCTTAATGAAAAAGCAAGGAGTATTATTAAATATAACAATGACTACTTGTTCTAATATATTTGTTTGCAATATATACAACTTAAATAACTTTTATAGTATATTATTAATTTTAAATTATATATTTAATAATGCAATATCTATGTAAATATTACATATATTATTTTGTGATATTAATTGCAAGCATATTATATATGTACATATTATTTATATTTTTAATTTGTATTAATATACCGTTTAACATGTAATTTTTTTATGTATTTTTTTACAAAATAAAAATAAAAATAATTTTAAATAAGATAGAAAAATTGAAATTTAAAATAAGATATGAATTTATTAAAATTTATAAGTATAAAATATATTTAATATAAATATTTTTTAATAAAAATCGAGTCATGCGGTTCAACTAGTGACCCACCAGTTCAACTTTTGACCCACTGACCCAGTACTTTAACCGGTTCGATGACCGGTCCGGTTTTTAAAACTATGGTTAATAGTATTGTGGGTGTATGCCAAAATAATCTTAATTATAATTTTTTAATGCATTTCAATTTTTAAAAAATAAGTGGTTGAAGGCAAGGGGGATACACATACAGGACAATTACCCACAAGATTTTTTTTTTACTTAATTATGTTTGATAAAAAAAATTGTTTCCAAACAAAAATACTCGTTGTCTCCTACATTTTTTTTTGGAAATAAAAGTTATTTAAAAAAAAGACAAATATGTTATTAATTTTTTTTATTTATCATTTTATCCTATTAAGCCTTTTTATTTTTGTTACTGGACACACGTATTAAGACTAAGTTGATACAATTACGCAAACACATTCTTTAAAAATGTATATTTTTGTAAAATATTATAGGTGTTTGAATTAACATGACTAAGATAGATACTGATGACATGCAAATGATGCCATTACCTGTAAATTAGGTCTTGCAATAAGCTCTCATAAATGCTTTCTATATATGGGATGGATCTTACACTACCCTTTCTTAATTTTTTTTTAAATTTTATTATATTTTTAATATTTTGTCCTGTCTTGTGCCTTTTCTGGTTAGTTTCATTCAATTCTCAAGTATGCTTGTACGATAAGTTATGTCTATTATAATCACTGATGGATTTTAATTCTCTATTACAATGTTATTATCACATGATCATTTAATGTTGAGTCTGATGTCACTTTACATAATATTTTTTTAATATTACAAAATTGTCATCATCAAGCATATTTCATGTAACTACACCTATCTAACATAGAATGTGTTTTTATTACGTAAAATATCGGTTAGAAGTACACTTAACATAAAAATAATTTACATAAATTACAAAATTGTTATCACACTACAATTATATCGGATAATTTAAAATCAATCATATAAACCCTTATAGTATGTTTGGATGGAGAATTTAAATGGATAAATTTATTTATTTGAAGAATTTCAAATTCTCCCAAAAAAGTAAGAATTTGAAATTCTTCATATATTTTTTTCTTATTTCATTTATATATTTTATTTTATCTCTTCATATTTTAATTATTTAATATTCAAAAATATTTTTAAAATTATTAAATATTATCTAATATTAATTTTTAAAATTATTAAATATTTAAAAATTAACTATATTTATTTTTATAAAATTTAATTTAAAAATCTCAACATATAAATATATTTTTAAAATTAATTTTACCATGATGGAATCAAATTATCATATTCAACCCAACAATTTAAAATTTGAGAAATTTGAATTGACTTATCCAAACAAAATATTTTAACAATGATAAAAATTTAAATCAAAGTAATTCAAATACCAAAAATTTAAAATTTCTTGAATTTGTAAAATTCCTCATCCAAACACACTATTAATAAAACTATTTTGTACCGCTAGTTATAAAATTTAAATTTTTTTTTTAATTTTGTAGTATGATTGAATTTATTTCCAGTCTTTTAAAAAAATTCATTGATTTTAATCTTAATAAACTTATAAATCTTTTGAAAATGATTATTTTCTTTACTACAACTATCATTTTAAGGTAATATTGGAGAATTTCAACTATCATTTTAAGGTAATATGTAAGTTGACATACTAATACTATATCATGCCATGTTATCCTTAAATAATGATAATGACAATTTAAAAAAAAATTAAAACACAAGAATTAATCGTATATTAGAGAGATTAATTTTTTTTTTTTATGTATGAATATATTATGATTAAATTTTATTATATGCTCACATTAAATAGAAATAAACAAGTTAATTAAGTATAACTAAAAAAACCTATATATCAAACCAATAAAACCAACTTAGTAAGAGGGGTGAAAGGAGTGATCCACTATAAAAAAAATTGTCATATTATGTACTTTATAGTGATATAAAAATTATTATTAAAAATTATTTTTACCTACATAATAAATATAATATATATTAATATATTGTTAAAAAATTTAAATGTAAATTATAGTAATACAAAAAATATGTTATTAAATTTCATTAAAAATTAATATTAAAATTGTGTGTATCTATATAATAAATAATTATATATTTACATATATTATATCTATAATAACACTTTTTTATGTCATGTAATATTTTTTGTAGACACAAGTTAAAATAATATGTAAAGGAAATCATAAGTTTTAATTTCAGTACGATTATTATATAATAAAATACTTATATATAATATCTTAAGTTTTGAATTGATCAATCAAATTAACTTCAGTGTTAATTCATGTTTTATCACATCATATTTCGAAACATTGTGTTCTGTCCTTTTGGATATTTCGAGGTTCTAATTGTTATGGAAAATTAGCAAAAGAATCGATTGATTAAAGAACATATATATATATATATATAATATTTTTTATCATTAAGACAAATTATCATGATCGTAATATTTAATTTTAAAAATTTATATATAAAATTTCAATTCAACACTCTGTCAGTAAATTTAACATATACTATTACAATTAACACTTTATCAGTAGATCGACACAAGTAGTTGAAATATTTTATCTTTATTTTGAAGGGGAGTGGGCCGTGAAATTGGAACTTGATTAGAGAGATATAAAGAATTTAAGTTGTGTGATAATTAACGTACGATACTTTTGGTAAAGTAAATGATATAGCAGAAACGTAAAAAAGCACAAGGTGGACCATGATACGATGATAGTGAGGAGACAAAGATGAAATGCAGAATGTGGCTTAGTTCAACCACCTTCACCTAATAAGCAACAACATTAAAATATTGAAGATAAGGATTTTGATGGTAGTCTATTTTATTAGCTTGACTTTTGGGAGCTTCATACATATCATGTAGATATATTCTAGTTACGTAATCCTGCAAGTTTACCCCATTCAGGTATTTAACCTGTCACATTAATTTCGCATAGAGCAAGTTTAAAATCCTCGTCCATGTTGGTGGAATGAATGTTGGTGTAGATCAATTACTTTGCCCCATGCTTTCTGTCAAGGTTAAAATTTCGGTCCCATTGCAATTAATGATACATTATCAATAAAGGTGATAATAAACCAAATTAACTCAAAAATAGCTTGAAACTTATTTGAATTAAATGAATTGAAGTTGAAGTAGGTTAATTTTGATAATATATATATATATATATATATATATATATTATTTTTGTTTCTTGTTAATGTACTATAACATTAATTTGATGAAGCAATTTAATTTGCTTACGATGGTTTTCCATGAGAAATTATTACAGGTGATGTTTACAAATAG